TTCTACACTAAAAGAAGGTGAAAAATAAAATCTGAGGATATCTTCAGATTTCTCGTGAAAAGGCGCATCTGATGACATTAATTCTGACCTTAATTTCGAAAGAAAATAAATCTGAAATATGACGTCAATGATACAACCCCTCCTCTCATACAGGGCATTCTTGTGATCAAGATAATTCAAAAAAGCTGAATTATCCGATATAGTGGCAAAGTATATTCGATAGAGCTTCAGTTGCGCTACAATCCTCATAATACAGAATTTTCAGTGTTTTTATCAAAGTTGAAATAATTAATCAACTTTGAAAAGTATTGCATTTTTGTATACTTCTAATATGATTTTCCGAAGAGAAATTGGCTTATTTTAATACTTAATTACTTCTGTTTCCAATGAAATTTTTGTGTTTTGTAAAGGTGTTAATTCTCTAAATTTTGACGCAAGCCGCTTCAAAAAATAATGTTCCATTCTCGAGATATTGAATCTTTTCTGAGACCACTATTATGACCTCTCTGTTGTATAGAAAATTACTGGAAGAATTTATTTGTTTGAAATAAAATCCATACAGCTAGAATCAGCATATGATCTTCTATCACCTACTATCAAAATATCTTTTGAAAATCAAAAAAAAATTTTTTTCGAAAAATTGCCGTACCCCCCTCCAGGCCTTGTTTGGAAAACCCTTGTATTAAAACCGCCGTACCCCCCTACGGCAATTTTTCGAAAAAATTGTTTTTTGATTTTCAAAAGATATTTTTATAGTAGGTGATAGAAGATCATATGCTGTCATATGCTGATTCTAGCTGTATGGATTTTATTTCAAACAAATAAATTCTTCTAGTAATTTCTTACATAACAGAGAGGTCATAATAGTGGTCTCAGAAAAGATTCAATATCTCGAGAATGGAACATTATTTTTTGAAGCGGCTTGCGTCAAAATTTAGCGAATTAACACCTTTACAAAACACAAAAATTTCATTGGAAACAGAAGTAATTAAGTATTAAAATAAGCCAATTTCACTTCAGAAAATCATATTAGAAGTATACAAAAATGCAATATTTTTCAAAGTTGATTAATTATTTCAACTTTGACAAAAACGCTGAAACTTCTGTATTATGAGGATTGTAGCGCAACTGAAGCTCTATCGAATATACTTTGCCACTATATCGGATAATTCAGCTTTTTTGAATAATCTTGATCACAAGAATGCCCTGTATGAGAGGAGGGGTTGTATTATTGACGTCATATTTCAGATTCATTTTCTTTCGGAATTAAGATCAGAATTAATGTCATCAGATGCGCCTTTTCACGAGAAATCTGAAGATATCCTCAGATTTTATTTTTCACCTTCTTTTAGTGTAGAAACATAAGAAAAACTGGTTGGGGACAAATTCTGAAAAAAATAATGTTTTGTGCACATCGATTTTTGCTATTTTCAGTATTTTGGACTTATCTTCGTCAAAATAAAAGCTTTTCAAAATTTTTTTTTACTACTATCCTTAGAATTTCGACCTCTATAAACCCTGGAAGATTCATTGAAATCCGTCACCACTTCGATACGACGTGGTCGAGTTCATGTGGAATTATCCTTTTACATTTTTTTCTTATTAAGTTTTAAAAATCGTTCACTTAGGTGTTTTAAACGCATTCGTTGCCTATATTCACCTGTCTGCTTAATTCTGTCTCTGCTTGCTCTTGTTCTTCTTGGTGTGGGCATCGCTGCAATGCTTGTCGCCTTGATCGGCATCCCTCAAACGACAACAACAGGTAAGGTAACATTTGCGTTTTTGTTCGTATATGTACATGAATAATCATACAACTGAACTCGTAAAAGAAGTTCTAGCGATCGATGTGATATATATCTATAACTGAGATAGGTCCAAGAGGAAAGCAGCGATTTTAGCGGCTCAAATTTGATTTTTGTACATTCAAATCAGCTGCTTCCTCCTTGGAAGATCGATGAACAACTCTGCAGAAACTGAAGCTGATAATCAGCCAATATGTTCGATAGTTTGCCTACAGAAGAAGCTGTCTACTTTCTTCTTCTCATTTCTTTCTTCATTGATTTCTTTATTCTTACCTAGTTTTCTTCAGGCCGCAGACTGGCCACTGTGAATGTTTATCATTTGCTACAAATTGTGGTTCCCTAAATCACTCCCAAAAAATTTCCATTTTTGAGAATACTCAACCAATTAAGGTATATTTGGGTGACCAAGTAGGGAGTTTTTTAGGGTTTTTTGTATTTAGGGATTTTTCCATAGGAATGTATACTATAACATATTGCTGCTCTAATACTCATATCATAATGTACATGTGTTTTACACTAATATCAGGGTGTGGGTGTGGGTGTAGATGTGGGTGTGGATGTGGGTGTGGGTGTGGGTGTGGGTGTTTGAGTATAGCTGGGAGTGTGTGACACTGGGTATAGGTGTGTGTGAGTGAGGGTAAGTATCCTTTCAGCTTTTATCCACACCCACACCCACACCCATACCCACACCCACACCCACACACCCACACCCACACCCACACCCACACCCACACCCACACCCACACACCCACACCCACACCCACACACCCACACGCACACCCACACCCACACCCACACCAACCCACACCCACATCCACACCCACCCACACCCACCCACACCCACACCCTCGCTTTGTCTAGTATTTAGTTATTGAGAAGGATGAATTTTAACAGTGATATGTGTTATTCTTTTGACAAACGAATGTTACTTCGACATCGTACCCAAATGTTCGAGTACGTTGACCTGATTGTTCTAAGAATAATTTTTACCAATATTATTCTGTCTTTCTTTCACAAGATAATAGGGTGTGGGTGTGGGGTGCGCGTGAATGTCAGGAATATCACTCCCAGCCCCAACTCCACTCACACAGCCACACAAACTCGCACTCACTCACACTCAGTACGAAAAGTTAATGTCAGACATCCTTCAGACACGTCGGATACTGAGATTCATTTTTCATTCTTCAGATTCGTCATGAATGTTAGGGGAGCAGATTTAGCAGCGAGACAACGACAAACGATTTAGAAATTACCAGGCACCATTTCCCATGAATTAAGTATAAGAGACGCGAATGATGTCAAGGGTGTGGGTGGGTATGGGTGTGGGGTGGTGTGGGTGGTGGGTATGGGTGTGCGTGGATGTGTGCGTGGATGTGGGTGTGGCTGTGGCTGTGGCTGTGGCTGTGGCTGTGTGGGTGTGGGGTGTCAGTGTGGGTGTGGCTGTGGGGTGTGAGTGTGGGTGTTGATGCTCATTGTAAGTACAGGCGCACCACACACCCACACTACACCCACACCCACACCCACACCCACACCCACACCCACACCCACACC